CTAATTAAAGAGGATATGAGACAGCATTCGCAGTTAGAAGAAAAGAATAGAGAAACAGTTGCAGCAGCAATAGATAAGCGAGGAATACAACAGGAAAACAGAGGCTCCAATGATTAAGGAACCGTGCTATCCGAATGAAAAATGAGCGAGAGCAGCGGCGCGCGATGAACACGAATGTCGCTAGCGGAGAAATACATCAAAAGGGTGCTGTGACTGTTGCCTGGGTTGTGGTACCATTACGTGGTCCACACACCTTTGTTAAATAATTCCAGCAGAAATCTCAAACTGCACAGTCAAGAAAGGAAGGATACGTTTCCAGCGAATTTATAAGCAAAACATATTAAAAATTTTAAACTCAAGTTTTTTGCTATCGACAAAACAAATGCATGTTTCAGCCTTTAAGCCTAAGCCTTAAGCCTAACTAGCAACAAAATTTAAGAGGCTCGATTTGAATTGCAGCTGAACCTTAGTGATTAGAACGAATTTTAGCAGTACGTTTTCTGTGAAATTTTTTTTACCCACTTTGCGTTTTTGTGGATATTGTGTTAGGTTTCTTTATAAGTTTTTTTTACGGGGTGTTTAGGGCTATGAATTAAGAATTGATTCTAATCAACGGTTATATCAATTTTTTTAGAAGTTTGGTTTCGGCGACCCGCTTCCATTCATTTCAGGTAAAAATCTGGTAAAATTTATCTGACAGTGAGGCGAACCTAAGCGAAAACATGGGAAAAGATGCTGGAATAAAGTAAGTGGTTAATGCTCACCATCCATTCCTTCTTAGGCTTGCACTGCAGATGGTACGTTGGTGAAAAATAGCACAGATGGGTCGCCATCACTACTCGAATAAATTCTTGCTGTAATCAGGATAAACAGAATTCTTGATCCCTCAGTATGGTTATCTAACTAATGTTACTCATTTCTCTTGCTCTTTTGTAAACTGTGTCAATTAGCTTTATATTTTATATTTTTACCTTTAAAAATTATTATTATTGGTTATTATTGTTATTTACTATTATTATTAATTATTATTATTATTAATCATAATCATAATTAAATTCATTTTAATCAATTATTACTATTATAATTAATTATTATTGTATTGTTATTGTGTTATTATTATTAATTATTATTAATCATTATTATTATTTGATAATAAAATAATTCTCGGAAATATGGATTATTTTTCTTTTTTTCTTATCACTTATTTATCGATTTTTTAATATAATTTGCAGACAAAATTTTGTGTACTTTCGATATAAAAAGAATTTTCATGCGATGTTGCGAAGACCACCAACTCAAATTGAAATCAAAATTGAGGATATAGTTGCACTGGAAGAGAACTTATCAAAAAACATTAAACAAAAGGTTTGTATGAATTATTTAAATAAGTAAAAAGCAGGAATAGTGCAGTTGCTTTGATCCTTGTCGAACATTTCGATTTCTTTCTAATGGGAGTGAATTTATCATTAAAAATCGAGACGATGCTTGATGACCTATTTTTATTTCTATCATTAAATAATTCGGCGACGAAAATTTGTAACAGTGCTATTAATCAGCGAAACCAGCTAACCTAACTAGCAATAGTGAATGCAAACTACAAACAAATAAACTCATTCGCAATCTATAAAATTATATTACTCAGTTTTTTATTTATTATTCACGAATTTTCTGATTTTTTGGGAACTTATTAAATCGTTTTGAGCTCAAACTCGATGAAATGATAGAGACAAGCAATCCTCAGGAAGAAGTAAGACGTCGTATTGGTGCGCCGCCGCCAAGAGTTCATATGAATATTGCTAGTGATAATCAAGCTTTTACTCAAGAAACAAATCAACCATCTTGATTTATTTCATTTGTAATTTTTTTGTAATTATAATTTATAATTATTCATATTTTTTTCACATTTTTTCTTAAAAAAATACTCATTTATTTTTAATATTAAATTCAAACTCAAAAATAAGAAATAGTTATTGAGAATTTAATTAGTGATATTCCGTTTTCTATAAACGAAAATGCAAAGGAATATGGGAATTGGGAGTTTGCGAAGTTTGCGAAATTCGATATTTGAAATCATAATCCAAATCAAGATTTAATTTTCTACAATCGATGAATATAGATGAGTGTGAAATTTCGCAAGGTTCAACATTAACTATAGACCGTTTGTATAGTGATCAAATACTCATTTCTCATTCATGCAAATCGTTTCACCTCCACGTTTTGATTGTGATTGTAGAATTTTTATTATGTTCTTATTGTATTCATCAATAATTTAACAAAAAAATTTAAATTTGAAAGAGTATAGAAGAATATGAATTTTTGAATAGCAGAAAATCTTTCGTTTTTAACCTTAATTTTTCTCAAAATGTAGTTGTACGGAAAAAAGAAAAAAGAAAGAATGAAGGGGGTAAAGCATTTCAATAGCATTAGGATTCTAGCTGTAATGAGAGTTATAGTACCGCTCATTTACATATTTATCAATCGCTATATGTTTGAGAAATAAAATAGGAAAGAGTTTATGATAAAGTAATTAGTAAAGTAATGAAGGCAAATAAAAAAGAAACACATGTGGATTTAATTTCATAAATAAATAATTTTGCTTAATTTCTTTGCTAAAAATTGAGTACAAATGGCGCAAGAAAGAACAATTTAATAAGTGATTTAATTCTTTTTATCACTTACAAAAAAATTCTCCTTATAGCGACAGCTTACAAAAAAATTCTCCTTATAGCTGTCACCATTACTGGTTAGGATGGTTCTAACGGCTACAAGGGTAAGACGCTTCCAAGCGGCGCGGTCTGATGCCATCGTCAACAGTAATAGAAACCCTTCCTTTTTCCATCGTCTAAATCCATATATTGCTGGACCGTCTATACGTTCAAAATTTTTTCTGACCGTATCAGCAGAGGTTTTGGTTGGTCCATCTCGCTTTTGACGCCACCTATCACATGGTTTAGCAAAGAATCCGATTCTCACTGCAACTGCTTATAAAAAATTGACAAATTATGCCTGAAAGAATATTTTATTCGCTATAAGTAAATCGTTCGTCGATCAGTTGACCAGTTGGTTAGCTCTGCTGTCTAATTAGTATAGTATGGCTAAAAATTTTTGCCAGAAAGTCAGTGACTGGTTGCCAGCCGAACTTTTCGATGACAGTGTTATTCGTGTGGGGAGCAGGAGCACAACTCTTGCTCGTTCATTCACTCCTCTTCCCTCCTCCTAATTTTCGTCATGACAAATGGCATATGAAATGAACAAATTGAAAACATTTTATAACATCTTAAAATTGTTTTCGAGTAAAAATTTTCCACTAAATTTCCATTCATTAAACTCTGTGGTGGATGCCGTTAAAAGCGGAAAGGATCAATCAAGACGACTCGGATTGATATAGTTAAAAAAGAATTTGAAGGCCCAGCGATATATGGTCCTGGAAGATGGAAATGGAAAAACTAGCAAAAGCAGTAATAGTGCGAGCTGTTAAAAGAAGAAGCCAAAAGAATTCTAGTGAAATTCTAGAAAAAGCTGTTTAAAAAAATTATTGAACTAATAACTATATCTGATAACGATTTATATTAAACGATAAGCATAAAAATTTGCCCATTCCGAACACCCGATGAAGGATATTCATAGCGATAAGCAGGTGGGAAATTCGCAACCAACCAAAATCCGGATCTACCATCGAAAATAGAATTCGTTCAGCACGACTCCGATAGGAATCTTTCTTGAGTTGTTCTGGTGCACCGTCATTATACAGCATGTAAAACATGGTCTGCAGTTAATCTTCTGCTACTTCTGCTAGCAACTTATCTACAATAACAGATTTTATATTTCACGCAAAATATCCACCAACGTATCCTATAACTCATTAATTTTTAAAGAGGCTGGTTGGTGAAAAATGAAAATAATAATTTTTCTCACCATGTAATTGCAAATTTTTGCCAATTTTTTATTTTAAATTTTTTTTTTGAAAAATAATATATCTCGAAATTTTTTCAACGAGGCAATAGGAAAAGTAGTCTGTGAAAGAATAATGAGCCCCATCACTGATAAAGCGATAATATTGATTTAAAATAATCGTTATTCGTTATCAGCCTGTTGAGTTGATCAATTCAGTTTAAATTCAGTTTGAGTTGATAATGAATGATTAATTAATGAATGAATGAATGATGTTTTGGAATGTGCGGAAAGTAAAACTAATCCTTGTCGCTTTCATCCGCTGCATTTTTATGTAATATATCTTATATATTTATATAATATACATTTTAATTTTCATATAATTTGATTTCAATTGATTTTCATATGAAGCTTCATACTATTTTGACAAACAACTTTGTATTCTACCTCAAAATAATTCCCCGGCGAAAACTTTCATCGTTTCTTCGCCCCCACTCTCTCCTTCGATTCTTTGAATTATTAGGTAAATGAACATTCTGAATAATCTGGCAAGCAAGTTTCACAATTGTTGGCATTTCGCTCATGAATAAACAATTTGCGCCTTATTATGTGAAAATTTGTATTCACAGTGTGTCCGTCCATAAAGATGAAAAAGAAGAATTTGAAGAATTAAATTCAGCGAAGATTTTATTTTATGAGAAAATATTACGTATGCTACATTTTTCTGTATCAATTATTGACTTCCGGTATAATTTCCAAATCCTTTTATCCTTAAAACAAATCGTTCCGCCTCCACGTTTTGTTTGCGAGTGCTAAAAACAAGCGATGAAAATCGTTTTTCTGTGAAAACTTACTTTTCCTTAACATATGAACAAAACTTGAAAAAACTATTAATTGATTAAAAAAATGGCATAAAATTATTTATTTAAACAAATTTATTTAAATTTTCGACAAAAAGCTTACACTTTATTCACCCGGTTCTTAACGATTTTTATAAAATTATTGCTTGCAGATAAAGTAATGCCTATATACATGTTAACAAAAAAGATTTTCCTTAACCCATTTTGCAACATGAAATGAAATTATATACATGCTTTTTGCACTTTATATTAAATTCTTCCAACCTGGCGATTAATGTCACCAATACATATATAAGGTTCCGAACGATGTTGACTAATAGCCCATTTCGAATGATCCTTTGTATTTTTGAAAATTCTATTCAAAAATTGCAAATGTTCAATATTTTCCACCTATAAATTAGTCAATAGAAAAATAGAATTCTTTGAAAATTTTTAAAATTTGATGGTCTCGTAACGATACCTTATATTTTGACTTACATTCCGATTGAAAATCACCCAAACCATTCATCCATGTTTCTGTATACAAGGAAATTTTCAGAAATGGTGCCAAAAAGTCGCGATATAAATCTATAACAAATATCAAAAACTGATGGCTTTTACCATTAATCTTTAATTTTTAATAAGGATTATAAAATTTCAATAGATGCTTCGTAAGTCTAATATTATCAAATATATTTTGAGTGGCAGGGAAATGATAGATTGTTACGATCTGTGTCGAGCACCAGAAATTCGATCTGCTGATTCTGATAGGAGCAAACTAATCATTAAAAAATCTGAATGGTGCACTGGTGATCCTATATATTCATTGCTAAATGACTCTGAGGAAAAAAATTTTCTAAAAATAATAACAGCCAGCGGAGATTAATCACAAATGGTGAATGCTAATCATTTTAACCATTTTTCAACCACTTTTTACCATGTATCTGATATACAAAAAATGCTAAAACCTTTTCCATATCTTCGATGTTTTGCAAAGCTTTTAAATTGCCTGCCTGAAGATGAAAAGAGTTTTTTAACCGATGAAAACACGCTTTCATTTTTTAATCGTGAATTTTTCCTAATAACTTCTCGAAGAGTTGGAAATCGAAATGCTATTTTTTCAGGTAGGTGTGAACTATATATTTCCGGTTGAATATATAGTAATTGTTCTCCTAAAAAATGTAAATGAACTGTAATTCATCATCATAATTTTGGTGAAAGTATGTTTATATCAATTGCTATTTTTCAAAGATATCTTTATAAGTTTCTTGTTTTCTTTAAATGTTGTGGTAATATGGAAAAAGGATACAATGCAAATTCCAATGAATTATAAAGAAAATAAAAATAACTAAAAAAGAAAATTAAAGAAAAAGCCTAAAAATAATATTTACCAATTTTTCCAAGTTCTGTGGTTTGAAATGATACGCATAAAAATGATTGCCCATACCGAATTCCTGATGACGGATATTCGTAATATTTTTTAGGTGGAAAATTTGGAACACTGTGGATTAGCCAAAATCCCGATTTACTGTCAAATAATACGACGCCTTTCGCATGGCCTTTATATGAATTCGATTTCAGCCTTGGCGGATCATCGTTATACAACAGGTGAAACGTATTCTGCAAAATATGAATAAATATAATTCGAAGAAAATAAAAATGAATGAATAGAAACACCAACATTTGTCATTAGACGCGCTCCACAAGCTATTATTATTGTTTATTATTATTTATTATTATTACTGTTATTATCATTATTATATTATTGTTATTATTATTATAATTATATTATCAATTATCATGATAAAGAAAGAATTTATACCAAGAATGCAATAGACGTCTCCTGCATTATACAAGAATTTTAAAGATTTATCCCGCAGGATGCAGGGCACGAAGCCCGCACCTTGAGACGATAGCCTAAGCAACAGCCATTTGGCTTACCTCTCTCCAGCAAATTAACAATTTACGACTAGAAAATTTTTTGATGAATTTGAAAAAATTTCCAAAAAATAAAAATCGAAAATTCAAAAAAATAAAATTAGGAAATTTATGAAAATATGAATAAAAAGACCTTGTACGACTTGAGTTTATAAAATTGCTCCAAAGTCTTTCCAACGAATGAATTCGTTTTATCAATACGTTCCACTTTCCAAGTGGATGTTCCAGCTTCTGTGCTAAGCGTGAATAGTCCGCCACTTCCTGGTTCACCGTTTTTAGCCTGCGGGAGTTTGTAACTAATAAACCTATTGAAATAAAAATCGTATTAGATTCAAGCTTATTTTATTTCACCAATTAAGCTAATAAACCATCGATTTTCCTTTAAACAGAAAGAGCGATCGCTAATTCTACAATTTCCTTACTAATTTCTCTCACTAATAAATTCTTTTTCAACCAATTTACCAATTTAAATTATTTTTCCGAGTGCCTACTTCAAACATTTTAGCATCCTCCTCATCTTTGGAACCAAAGCAATCAGTTCTTTTCGACCTTTTCGAATCGCCCATTCGGAAAAAAGTGCGCACAAATCCCACTTCAAGGTATAACTATAAGCTGTGAAAATACTACGTATAACTGTAAAAGACAGCAAAAATGCCCTTCAAATCCAAAGTCTCAACACTTTCCCGACCGAATGGCTTAACAGTGACCATGCGAAATGGCCACCACTGCTATATTTGTTTGAAATGTATTTTAAATTAACAATAATTTGAATAATAAATCGACTAACCAATCTGTGAAATTATTGCGCGCATTAACACAAGAAATGCTCCCAAAAATCAAATAACCAAACTGCAACGTCACAAAAAATAAAATAAAAAGTGCGTGGAAGTTTTTAAAAGGCATTCCTTGCGTTTCACTGTACATCAATGAATAAAACAGAGAAATGCAAACATACGAGGAAAAAATTGGATGAAATTTGCAAAGCAGTTGGTGAACATAAAAAGCTATAAGAGCGTTTAGTTCCGCCGAATAAATAATTAGCATAATAATTCATTAAATATTCGACCACTAAGAAAATTCAGCTAGAAAAACTGCAGCAGATGCTGCAATAACAATTTATTCGGCGCATGCAATAACAATTTGCTATATCAGCATGTGGCTATATGTGTGTGTCAGGGAAATGAGCATGCATATCCTCGAAAACCCGCCGCATCTCGCGGAAACCCTCTCCAAACCCTCGTTAACCTAAAAAAAAACAACAGCGGAAAAATGATTTATAAAATATAAGTCCAGAAAAAAAACTCAAAAATACCTCAAAAATATTCCAAGTCCTTCAATCCTACAAATTTCTGCGGAGGAAATGGCGATAACTAATGCCAGAAGACTAATGCAGATTTAGCGCAAGATTCCACAGAATTTTGAAGAATCACTTCATAGGGAAAAAATGTTTAATAAATAGGTAACAGCACTATTGAACTGGGCATTACAAAAATGACCACAGAATTCCACTGTTTTTTAATTAGATTCTGACAATGTTAAACAATAATGAACTTCTCGATATCCATCTGAACCACAACTTCTTAAAACAAATATAGCCGTCTTGTAATAAAGATAATAACATCTTAATAAAGAATAGTAAAGATAAAAATAAAATGATAAAGATTAAGAAGTCATCAGAAGTCGCAAAAACAACAACCACCAGTGACAAGCACAAAACATTTTGCATAATAACGCTGAACCATGTCGCAAAAATCACTGCAGAAATTTATTGAATTGAATATCGAACTCTCCCTCACTCATATTCCCCAGATCTCTCTGCTGGCAAAAATGTTCAGCATATGCTGATGCCAATTTGATTTAAAAGGTTATGGCTTCTTAAAATAAACGAAAAACGCTCAGACTTTTCAAATGACCCGATATAAACATTTAGCACTTTTATTAAAAAAATAATTTCCAATAAAAAATATTTGAAGATATTGCTCGAATGCACATAATAAAAATATGAAATAAGATTTAATTTTCTGCATTATAAGGACTGATTCGATAAACACCGCGAAAAAAAACAAATCGAACGACAGAATTTCAAAATTCATTGCACAGATTCTGAAATATTTTTATTTTACAATGATAAATAAAATCTTGAATGAAAATCTTAAAATCTTAAACGTTAAATGAAGACAGAAAATTCAAGAAAAAATTTCAAGAAAAAATTAACCTTATTTTTCGCCACCATCATCCGGATAATCATTATACCAACATTCTTCTGTATCGAGATCATCTTCGATGTCAAAATCATCCTCCTTGTTGCTACTATCGATTAATTTGCCTTCTGTATATAATCGCATCTGAATGGTCATTTAAAAAATATTATTATAGGTGGAAGATGCATTGATATGGCTAAAAATAAGCAGAACACGAATCAATAGGCGAGTAATGGAAGGCCAACAATTTTATGTCACTTATGTCTTCATTTAATTTTGGTTCATTTTTCTGCAATTTTTTCGCAATTTTGTGGCATTTTATGTGACAGGTAATGGTTTATATTACTGCGATTTTACAGCGATTATTTCTAATAAAGTTTAATTACAGAAGTTAGAGTTATATTTACACAAAATGGGAAATTTTTGCAACCAGAGTACGACGATACTTTTTCAGAGAAAAGAAACTCATTAAAGTAGGAGCATATTTTTAAGCTTTCTTGTTAAAACAGGCTTAACCAATCAAGTGAAGTTAAAATAAATTAAATAATAATAATAAAATAATAATAATAAAACCTGCGAAATTTCAGTAGATAAAAAAGGACCAGAGAAATTGGATGCATAGAAATCGTATATATTATTGCCCTATAACTGGGAAATTAGAAATTTTCAATCGAAATCTATTAAAAACGAATTTTTAGATAAAAAAAAGAATGTGGTTTTTAACGTTAAATCTTTGAAAAAATACAAGCATTTTGTTAACCTTTTGCTGAAAGGTTAAAAGAGGAATGCCATTCAGTGAGAACTCGCTTTCTTTTACAGTTTCTTCCTCACGTTCTTTGATTTCTTCGATATCCATTTCTTCAAAACCACACGTGTGTATCCATTTTAAATTCTCAGCTGATTCTTTATCCATTAATTCACAAGTCTCTAGATTACAATCCAATAATTTGGCATCTTCGAGAGATAATTCTCCAGAATGCATAGGTATATCCTAAAAGAATATGGAAATAATGAAAAAAAAAACCAATATTTACAGATTAGTAGAAATTTATCTCTAACTAACTGCATCTAGAAGATCGTAGATAAATTCTTTTGTACAATCATCGATCGCCTGTTCTAATTTCCTTTTTTTAACAGAAACTGATAAACTCGGATATTTCACAGCACTCCGCTTTCTCCTAACTTCGAATAGAATCTCCCTTGCCGCATTTTCAGAAACTTTAGGGAAAATCACTTGTGACATATCAAAACTCATTATAAATGAAAAAAGAGCCGCATGAAAATAAATTCGTTATTCGATAATTTATTCGTTTGCTTCTCGACGTTCCTTTATAGCTTCCTGAAATTAGCAAGATTATCCCTTATTTATGTTACAGAATTAGATCCCCATATTTCTCATAAACTGTGTAGAAGGTGAAAATAAATTAAAATACGGATATCAAAATATGAAAAATTAAATAAGATAATCTTAGCCAAATAATGAAAAGTAAAATAAAAAGAAAATAAAAAATAACTGAAAAAGTGAAAAAATTCTAACTCGAAATCTTTCTTCAAATAGGGAAAATTCTGCCATAAGATCAGTGATAGCACTGGTAAGGGCGTCTACTGGTGTTGTTTCGGGAGCAGTTTGTACACGAAGAACGAATTTGTGTTCGAGAGGATGGGGATTTTTGTAACCAGCGAATAATACTTGAGGATCTTTCAGTAACTGGCTAAAAAGGTTTACTCATTTTTATGAATAAAATTTTACAATGATCAAAGCTTATATTAGAACGATAAAAAAAGAATATTTCTTTATAAATCTTTTAACTTGAAACATATTTATTTCCAAACTTCAATTATGGATTGTAGACAAAAATGTACTCCTATATGATGAATGAATATATATATATATTCTTAAACTAGCAGAAGTAACTTCAGTAGAATCCAACAGCAACATCAGAGATCTTCATCCTGAAGAGCATACTATTAGCACAAACTAAAATATTGCACGCTTCAACACAAGAAAAAAGAAACTGCTCTCTCAGCTGATGATGGATCAACTCTGCGCTATACCCCAGATTGTAGAACGTTTAGAAAAAAAGAAGAAATGGGCATACAACAAGCTATGAAGCTAGAAATTATTTTCCAATATCTCCGGTCAGCAATTCACAAAAAAATTCATGAATAAGCTAGTTAACCATCGAGATCGTCTAATGAGGCCCATTGAAGCACCAGATCATTTATTTGCAAAAAATAGAGTCCTCGTAAGAGTTCCTATTGCCACTATAACAAAAAATTAACTGGTGTATACCACAGCTACCGTAATTCTGGAAATTCTGGAACATAAAATCAAAAAAAGTAACAATACATTTCGCTCCATGATAAGGAAGCTGTAAAATAAAATCTGAGTACAACTTATAGAAATTGGTTAGCTAACAGAATTATAGAACGACGCAAAGAATAAAATTAAAATTAAAAATAACGCTCAGACCTGGAAAAATACAAGGACTATTTAGAAACTCTTGAGACTGCCAAACAAAGACTCACACCACTGGTCATTAGGTTAAGGAGATATAATAGAGCTGCAGAGACCAAAAAAATCTCCAAGAAACCATCCAAAGTGTGCTTTCAACTTCAATGGAATAATGTAGTAATAAAAGAGCCATCAGCAGAAACTATACAATACTGGAAATGAGAGAAAAAGAAGATTCATAATACCAACGCAAAGTAACAGAAAGATTTGAGAACAAGCCACAGCAAATCTTTTAAATATAAACCATCATAGTTGCTAACACTTGGACAATATTTGATCTAGACATTGTTCCGCACTTACTGGCTAAATAAATTGATAGTTCATGAGCGCTTAGCAACACAGATAAATCAGTGGCAGACTCTCATCCAGACTGGTCAATACAAGAAAGAAGGACCATAAAAGACCTTCACCAACTACCGGCTAACAATCTGCCTCTCCACAACGTGAAAGAAGTCACGTCAGGCATCATAGCCATTAAGCTTTATGACCATATGAGCCAGTACATAAGTAGTAGCTGGAGACTCACCTGTAAGCCAAATGATTCTATGGTAAAAGGGTGTTCTATGATGTTCTTTACACCTTCTCGTCCTCCGACGCGCATGACACTCTCAGCCCGGTGGTTCATGCAATGCAATGCAAATATATAATCGGGGTGCAGTAAAACTTCAAAGCTTGAGAACAGGATATGCTCACCATCTAGAGTAATTATTGAAAACTAATTATTGAAAACCTGTAGAGGAAAACGAAAAACCCACGCACGGTGAAGTGCTGGTCATAGCTACTTGTAACGTCAGAACGCTTAAGGACGATCACCGCCCACACTCTTTCTAAATAGAGGTGGATGTAACCTGTTTGTCAAAAGTCCATCTTTCTCACCGCAGATCTCGAGTAATTATTAAACCTGGCCCCAAAGGCTATATCAATATGGTGTCGGGAAATGACTCAGCGATTGTCATCTTTGAAAAAGCTCAGACCGTTCTGATTGAATGCAAGCCAGTAAACGACTATATGGCCTATGCTCGCTTCAAAAGAAAATTCTGTAATATTTCGGTCATCAATGTTTATGCTTCAACTATTATCAATTATCGGCAGATGACCACGATAAATTTTATGAAGACTACCAGTATATTTCTACCGAGGGGTGATGATCATAATCGGAATCTGGAATGCGCGCGACATATCATGATGCCCCAAGATGAACTCGGTTGATAAATTGACAAATGTGGTATTGCGCCAATGGAGAACGCTTTCTTCGTTTTGCCGAGCATGAATTTTTTATTAATAAGTTCCTGTCGAAGAGAATATCTAATTACGCGAAAAGAGAATATCTAATAATTACCTTCAACAAATGAACCCTCTGATGTGGCGAAAAGAAACAATATTAGATGACTGGAGCAAAGTAATTTCCAATTCTTAAGAAAGGTGACAGGATATACTGTGAAAATTACTGAGGAATTAGCCTAAAAGACATCTTCCGAAGATTTTCTCTTTCCTTCTGCTAAACAGACTCATGGCAAATGCACCCTAACCAAGCTGGATTCAGATTAGGACGCGACTGTGTTGGCCAGATATTCACGCTAAGAAGGGTGATGGAACATCGTTTTAAATATTACCAACCCACTGTTATTTGCCTCATCAATTTTGGAGCACTCTGGACAATGACAATGTGAAGGTGAAGATGTTCCAGAGAAGATCATTAGACTTGTAAAGACATTTTATCAGCATACAATGACATAGGTCTTCGTATATGAGGAATTAACAGAAATCAGATTTTTTCTAAATATTCAACAGATGTATATAAACCAGTCCAGATCATAGTCTCACCTTGAATACGATGAAGATATAGTCTTTTTTGCTATCAGTTTATAAATATAAATATAATATAAATATTAAACAATGTATCAATAATTGCAGCAAGAATTGGACTTAGGATCAACAAAAACCAAAGTATTTTCATCTATATCAATCCATACAATAAAAGTGGAGGGAGAAGCTTTCTATTTCTAATCACTCAAAATTATCTTACAGATTCGCCGATTAGATAAAATTGCACGTGATTGCATAAACCTTCGCTCAAATACATGTATTAATATTATCATCACAGAAGACTGCCTTCGCTAGTTTAGGGCATATTCTTTCACCACAGGAATTGATACATATCTCCTAAACCCTGCGATGGATAGCGCAAAAAGCAAGGAGGACCAATCAAGACCTGGACTGATAAAGTCAAGAAAGATTTTGAACATATAGGGAAAATCAGTGATATATGGACTTAGACAATGGAAAAAGAAATGGCTTCTATAATGTTAGAAGATGAAGTATATTAGTGCAATTGAAAAAGGCATTGGTAACAACACCAGAAGCTCACAGATAAGGCAATTTCTTAAGATTCAAAACTTCCTGATAGACCAATGTGCACAGCACGGATTGACCATAAGAAAACCCTATGACTCAATATCCCACATATTGATCTATGAAGGTTTGGGTCACTACGAAGTAAGTAGGACCTTAAGAACTCAATGGGACTGGGAGAAAAAGATACTTAAAATCAACTCAAAATAGCTTGCAAAAAGCGGCTATCAAATACGCTATATCAAGGTACGCATTGATTTCCCTATTGTTTTGTTTAGGTCTAAACCCTTTCAATCAAATAAGAACAAGAAGCAGATATGGATACAAATTCTACAGGGGAATTACCAAGAGCTTTTCTACATGAATGATACCAAGTTATGCGCAAAAAGTGAACGAGACAATGACTCGCTCATCATCTAATACATATCTGCTACAGATCTAAAGCGAGGATATGGGATGTCATTCAGGTTAGAGAAATGTGGCCAGATGGTAGTAAAGAGAGGAAAAGTATTAATAACTAACTAGATGACATGCCATCAGGACATATAGTGGATATAGCGGACACAAAAAGATTAGCTAGTGCCTTGGAACATGATAACCACGATGAGAAGAAAAACTGCAACATCTAAGTATATCACTTAAGAATAAGACAAATTTAAAGGCTCAACAAGAAGAATTTTAAGGCAGTCTGTGCCTTAAATATGCCAATCATCAGGCATTTGGCACAATAAGATGGACAAAGAAAGATCTGGAAACTCCTCAGAATGCACGGAAATTTCCATCTCAAATCTAACATCCAAAGACTACACACCTGCTGAAAAAATACAGGTGAGCTTAGATGAATGAAAGCCACTGAAATGAATGAAAGAAATCTGAAACATTCAGAAATAAATCAGCAAGATGGCCAAAGGATCAGCTGGTGAAAGAATGTCTGAAGCAAACATTGGAAAAAAAGTAGAGAAGTGAAAAACAAGACCATCCATGGAATTGTGCAATCGACAGATAACTGAGATAGCCGACACAGAAATTCTACCAGCGGTTGTAAAAAACTAGATTAAAAGTAGTATTGAGCAGGTATTACGCGACAGTTCCATCGAAGCAGGGATCTACTATATCAAAGAGGACTCAAGATGGATGTACAAAAATGTCTCAGAAACATTCCAGCACCTAGTGGCATGATGTAAAATACAAGCAGGAACAACGGAAACAACGTTACATTAAAAGTCATAACCACGTAGCTGGTATCATGTACAGGTATATCTTCTCGGTATATGGCCTAGATCCTCCTAAGATTAGAGGGGAATTCCTCAATTTCTCAGAAAATCTTAGACGATAATAAGGCGAATCCTGTGGTACTTCTCTGCCCAAACAGACAAAAAATTACCGGCCAATCAACAAGATATCGTGTAATACAGGAATCAGAAATCATCACTGGTGATAGATATAGCAACACCAAATGACAGGAAAGGAGGAAGGAATATGAGAAGTTAAGAAAATATCAGGAAATGAAAAAACTGAAGGTGCGGAAAGTAAAAGTCAAAATAATCCCAATCATAACTGAAGCACTTGGAACTATTATCCCTAGAAAAACGGCTTTGGCGCATTCCAGAAACAACACCAGAGATCTCTATTTTTACCAGAGACGCATTTTTACCAGAGATGCGCACTGTTAACATGTTCATTTCCCTAGGCTTCTGGTAGAAGATCCAAGATTAAGAATTATTCTTACCAGCCAAAGCGGATGAGAAAGAGATTTTTTTCACTGAATATAAACATAAAAAAAAATTTCTTTCTTGAAATTCTTTGGAAAACAGTTACTTCACCAAGTAAAATCCTCTGGATTAAGAAAAGAAAACAAAAAGAGATTATTGTTTTAATTCAACATTCAAAAAAAATAAAATAAATAAAGAAGTTGGAGAAATTTGAAACATTATTATTTTTATTTAAAAAGA